GTAGTAGTAGTAGTAGTAGCATGATGATGATGAGGAGAAAGAGGAGGATTAGGAGGTTGTATTCTTGGTTACATACTCTATTATTGTAGAGGCTGAGAAGGATGTTGCACAAGAGTTAGATAGATTACATCATGAGGAAGAGAACTGTGATGATGATGATGATGATTTGGATTCAATGGATCTTGGTATGGACTTATCATCATCATCATCATCATCAAGATGATATAGTGGTATTCATCAGGTAGTGATCTAGTTGTTAGTGAAGATGATATCATCAGTGAGGAAGGCAGTGATGGTGGTGATGGTGGTACTCTTAGGGATGATATCAAGTCGATATCATCCACGAAAGTTATTATGGAAAGATTAAAGGAAGCACGGTAGTAGCATCAAATATGATGATGATATATAACAATATTGGTAATAATAATCAGGAGAGAAGAAAGATTAAAGAAGATGAAAGAGGTTGAGAGGAGGAAGGTAGTACTTTAGCCATTTAAACCATAATCATAATCATCATGCTTATGATTATCCTTGATGTTGTTGTTGTTGCTAATGTTGTTGCTTCATCAGAAAACAATGAAGGAAGTGAAATCACAGTTGGAGAGTGGTTTATCTACACTGGAAGATAGGGAACAGGAACAATACATAAAAGTAATGAATAATAATAAGAGGATATCCACTACTACTACGATATGCACGTGTAGATACATCATCATCATACTAGTACTACTACTACTTCAAGGAGTTCCATAGGCCTTCCTAACACCACTACCAAACACTATCTGGAACAGGAGAATCATCATAAGCAGGGGGTGATGAAGAAAAAGAAGGTGATGGTGGTGACGAAGTCTCCGGTGTTATCATCATCATCATCAACTATAATATCACATGAAGTATCGGATACTCCTCCTCTCCCTCATCATCATAGCATCACCCGTTTAACCAGCCTTGATAACACTACTGGAGATATCGTACAGCATCATCAACGACAACAACAACGACTAGATGATGAGGCTGAAGAAAAGAAGAGCATTGTCGTCCCGTCG